CAAAAAAGTGTAACCCAAGTTTAAGGTTCAAGTTCAAGGTTTTGTTAACTTCCGGCTTCCAGTTCAGAATTGGTTTCAGGATTGGTTTTAAGGTTTCAGGTCTATAAAGTGCTTGGTGGAGGGTTTAGGGTTTAGGGAATTAGCTGGCAAGATGTTGCGGGAAGTTGTACCGTCAATTTTTTGGGATGCTACAGAGGTTGGCGGTTTGGGCGGTGTCCTGAAGGCCTGGGCCCTCCTTCTTGGCTCATGACGGTATGAACGGTCCCAAAGGTTCCGTGTAGGCATATAATACATACTTAGGGCCCAAAGGAATTCCCTTATAGCTACTCTAGGGCCCAGGAAATACTATGGGGCTACATCTGTCCTTTGGGTGTCCTACTGGTATCTTCGGATGTCTTAGTAGGTATACTTTTGGCGTCTGCAGTCTGAACCCTAAACCCTCAACCACGGTATTCACCCACCTACTTAGTCTCCATGACCCCTCCACGTCATGCTGTGCATAAACTCACGAGGCAAACATGGGGGATGGGTCAGAATGGGGTCATCTCAAGGATGCACGCGATGGTCGAGTTCCGGAAGGTCCAGAAGCTCAAAACCTGATGAAATGCACAACCTGGTACTTTCCATCTATGTTCACTGGATTAATTTCAGGATGATTTCCATCCCAGCCGTGCTCTTCAAACGAAACCCTCAACCCCAAACTAGTCCAAAGTCATGTTTGATCGATGCAGCTACGCAGCAAACCACAGTCAGTTCTGAGCCATCGCGGATCTCACCTTCCATGGGGCTGCTTTGCGGGCGAACTCGCGCATTCAAGATACTCTGCGCGGTGTTCTCCGAAGCCGGGTGCGAGGTACATACATATGTCTACACCTATATGAAAATACACGTATGTATATATATATATATATATCCACGTATGTATGTATGTATGTATGTATGTATGTATGTATGTATATATGTATGTATGTATATATGTATGAATGTACGCATGCATGTAGGCATGTAGAATGTATGAATGTATGAACGAAGGAATGTATGTATGCATGTATGTGTGTATGAGTGTATGCATGCATGTAGGCATGTGGAATGTATGAATGAATGAATGAATGAATGAATGAATGAATGAATAAATGAATGTATGTATGTATGCATGCATGTATGTATGCATGTACGTATGCATGTATGTATGCATGTATGTATGGACGGATGGATGAATGGATGGATGCACGCATCAAATTCAATGTGTGCTGCCTACGCATGATCTTCTTGTTTTCCGGATGTCCGGGAGCGTGTGTTGTAGCATGTTCTCGTTCCATCGAGCACGCAAGACGTGACTAAGGCCACCATTTATCTACTTGGCACTTAGGACCCCTAGGGTTAAGGGTCTACGGCCCAAGCTAAGTCCTAACGAGTTATGTTTCCAGTTTCCAAGTCAGTGCACTCGCTGTCTTGATGTCTGTCTTGGATATTGGGGATGATGGAAAAGAAAATGGAACCTGCTATTTAAGGGGATGCATTGGGACGTATAGGGCTTAGGGTTTTAGGGTAAAGCGTGTACTGGGTGACGTGGACTTCTCCCCTCACCTTCCGCATCGTGTTTGGCTTTGGGTCGGAAGGCTCCAGCCAGGACGCAATCTCAAGGCCGGATGCAGAAGAAATGTCATTGATCGCTGGTCGACTTTGGAAGCAGGAACAAGACACCGCATTGGCTACTATGGGGCTCATGCCTCCTGCTTGCGACATGCTGCTTTATCCGTGAACACTTTGCTCTTACTTATTGGTGGTTAGTAGGGAACGAAGGCATGGGTTGTAGGACCACTATAGTTTGTCACATAAACGCTGCTGCAGGCATCCATTCCTCCTTTCCATATTAGCCGCTAATAAGCTAGCCCTGACTGCTTTCATTGCTGTACCACAGCACGCTCACTAGAAAACACACAAAAGCCCAAGCATTAAGGTACATCAAGGCGTTTAGGGTTTAGAGTTTAGGGCTTAGGTGCATCAAAACCTGTTGCTGAATTTCTGATCCCACTTCGCGACCTGCTCGTGGATCGCTGAGAACAATGACCTGCGCCAGAAACGATGAGCACCTCGGCTCTATGTGGCTGGAAATCATATGGGGGATTATGTACATATATAATGGGGATAATGGAAAAGAAAATGGAACCTACTATTTAGGGGGATACATTGGGATGTATAGGGCTTAGGGTTTAAGGTCTGGGGTTGGGGGTTCTCATTAATGCAATACCACAGTTGAATTTACATTGTCGTCCAAAAATGGTCCAGGACAAAGGAGCTCGCACGAAAAGGCAGGAATAAGTTTGTTCGTGCTGTCAAGCCTTTGTTGGCCTCTTTGCTGGCTGCATCTGGCACGCAATAACACCTAATGTGCGTATCAGCTGTTCTACTACTATTGATATTGAAGTCCTCTCCACCTGAGCATGCTATGGTTATGTGATTCCACAGTTTGGTGTACTTAAACCATACAGCATTATGGGTACCACCGTATAATAAAGAAGTCGATGTCAGATACCAAGGATGTCAGGTTCCAAAGGCACAGATGGTCAAACTGTCCTCATGCCCACAAGATGCTCAGCGGTTTATCGAGGGTTACATGAGTGTGATATCGTATTGGGATAATGGAAAATAAAATGGAAACTACCATGGTGGGGTTATATAGGGTTTAGGTTTTAGGATTTAGGGAAACCCCGTATGAGTGACGCTGCCTATAAACCTTACGCATATTTACACTCCCGGAAACTAACATGGAAACCCAAGAAGGGCCCTTTAAAGACTACAGTCCCTTCTACAAGGGGACTATATGGGTTTCCATGTTAGTTTGAGGGAGTGTAACTTTCGGCCTCTTGCGCAACTCCCTCAAGGGAGCTCAGAGACCTGCCAATGTGGTTCCAGACATGGCGTGGGCAGTAGAACCGTCACTATACAGACTTCCAGAAAAAATCTCCCCCTCATTGCTGGCAGCCGCCACATTCCAATACACTGCGCATGGTGCACTTTTAGGGGGCTTACAAAACTCCTACACCCTAAATCCTGAACCCCTGCCTGGATGGTCAGAATGATTTAGTTACTGGTGGTTAGTAGGGAAAAAGGGAATACAATTCCTATATAACCCCTATTCAATATATTTCCTTATTGCCTAGTAACCCCCAGTAAGGTAAGTAGGTTAAGAATCGGGTAGCTGGCTGGGCTTCTTACATGGCTTCTATGGGTCATATTTCTTGAGTACTCCTAGTAAGCGGCCCCTGAACCCTAAACCCTCACTTCCTGCTGCCTGAGCACTCCGATGCTGGGCTGTCATCAACAGCGGAGCCCACCATGCCTTCCACAAGGCTTAACTGAACGCTTTCCCTTCAGAGATCTGAATAGGGTTCATAAAGCTCAGTGAGAAGCAATGTGATGTCTACTCACATGAATCAAACCTACAAACCAATCCCTGAGGTCCTAAGGGGATGTCTGAACATCACGGCCGTCCAACCCTCAACCCTAACCACTTGGGGAGCAATGTGTCTCGCCCCAGTTTCAGGAATCCGCCCCCTAAAGGGTCCAAAGTATGTGAGCCATCATCCAAGCTCCTTAAAGGGGAGATAGGGTTTAGGGTTATATAGTGTGTAGCGGTTATACAGGGGGTTATATATGTTTAGGGTTTAAACTCTTGAGAGGGGCTTATACAGGGGAGTATATAGGGTACTACTTTCGGGGTTCTTAAGGGGCATTCTAGGAAGTTAGATTCTAGCTCATGTAATTCTTAGACCTATGTCGCTGTTACTATTTTGCGGACCCCAAAGGCTTATGACTATTGAATACTAGACTCCTTGGGATCCTGTTGTGCTGACTGTAGAAAGCCTAAACCCTAAACCCTAAACCCAAACCCTAAAGCTTGGCATTGGGGCTTAGGGTTCATAGGGTTTAGGGTTGACGTACCCTGCAATACGCTAACTGAGGCTCTGGGAATGAGTTACTTTGGGCACTCCCCATAATACTTGACAAGGACCCCCGCAATCCCCTTATGAGCTAGAATCTAAACTCCTAGTATCTCCCTGAATAAGCCCCATTAAACTCCCCGATATAACTCCCTATACAACCTTTCCTAAAGGAGTTTAGACTATAGCCATAACTCTTATGATCCCTGTATTTGGGGGGGGGGGGGCCTTTTCTGAGAAAACAACCACCTATTGCATGGGTGGGTGGAAGATTTTCTAGGGTTTAGGGTGAAGCATATTCTCCAAACCCTAACCCCTAAACCCAGAAATGGTTTAGGGTGTAGGGTGAAGCATGTTCCTGTTTCTAGATACATCTGACCAGCCAGCGGTATGGTAGCTCTTCTTCAAATAAGCTCGCAGGAGCCCGCAGAAAGGACAGACCCTCCAAGAAACCCTCGGGCTTTGTTTTTTAATTCCCTTCTAAAGGGCTTTCTTCAGGTGTCTTTCCTATTTGGGCCCCTAGGAAGGTACTCTACTTGTGTCACCAAGGCACCATTACCAAGGCACAACTCTTTCAAACTGCACCAACTACTCTCAAGAACGCAGGAGAAAGCATCACTGGCAGTGCCTCACCACAATCTGGCTGTTGTTAAGGAAGGCACATTAAGATACAATCATATGAATACATAGCAAAGAACGAAGTGCCCCTATTTTGCTCCAGCGTCCACTTACTGTCACGTCATCTTCCAAAATTCCGAATTGCGCACTCAACCCTCGCCTAATTATAAGTTCCTTGACAGTGTCAAGGCAACCAGAACAACACGCATAGACCAGCTTCACGGTTGCCATCAAATTTCCCAATTATCAACTAATGGAGCTGTCCACATGCGGCTCCAAGAGGGACAACAAAGTTCGGACATCAAGCAGTAAAAAGAACAGAGGAAGAATTTCAAGAAACCTCATGACAAATGACTGCAGCTGAGTGTTGCCAGGCAACCATATGTTCGACCTACTTCGCAGAACCCAGGGGCTCATGTTGAAAGGTAGCAAAAGAACCTCGTCGAAGCTCGCTCATCTCAGCGTCTACCGTTACGGTCACTGCGTTGCCCACGACCGCCTCCGCAGGAAGAGCGTTCCCAGAACCCGGAGAGGATCTGGAATCGATAGAGAGTACCACAAGGACATTCCAGCTACCCACACACCTGAACTGAAGACCCCATGTTAGCTATATGAGAAGTACAGGGTCCGCATTACAGGGGTTAAGGGAACCCAAACCCCTGATTAAAGTAAGACCCAGAGCTTCTCTTACATTGTGCTTTAGGGTTTTGGGTTATGCATGTGAATAGATTATGGCATCAAGCAGATGTTTCTTCAAGCAGCTAGTGCTATGCCGAGCATTATGTAGCATTATGTACAAGAGTAACTAATTGTGGGCAAGAAATTATCGGATGCTACTTGGAAATACCTTTGGCTCTCCCCACCTAGCCATGCGCCCCAGAAGCTACTGTATAACCCTGATTAATAAACCCCTTTCCCTTAATAGGAATTATAACAGGGATCCTAATATTAAGGTCCTGAAAAGGACGGAGTTTATGAATCATGGGTCTACATTACTGTATAACCCCAATTTCCTTTTCATCTTCCATGTCCTTTTTCATCTTATTATCCATTCCATTGCGGGGATAGTATCCCCGAAGCCCCGAACCCTAAATGCTAGTTTGCATGTCATTTTCCATCCCCCTACCTCAGCAATGACCTGTGTGACTTGTTGGTGGTTAGGCAGAAGGGAATATAGCCCGTATATACATAAACCCTATATAATGTTCCCTCCTTCCCTACTATAGTGTCCTTTAAGTAGATTGGTTATTATAATATACCCAAAGACATATTCGTCGATCTACTTAAGGGGGGGACTACAACCTCGAGTAAGGTTGGCTGGGCCTGCCTCACTGAGGGGCTCGTGATGCATCGCAATGGCCGTCACTTCTGCCGTGGTCCCGCCAGGGGCAAACCTGGGAGCTTTGAAATCCTGCTGAAAGTAGGTTTAGCGTTTAAGGTTAGCGCTGAGGGTCTAGTTGATAATATGTTTGGTGAGGTGCACAAATAAAATTGATATATTGGCTATTGTAAACTGGACTTCCCATCCAACCCAGACGTTCAAGGAATGAATGTAAGAACTAGTCCCTTTTACATCTGGGCTCGCGCACAGCCAGAATACAAGAAGCAACCCCTATCTCTTGTTGCTTACAAGACAGCACAAGCTAGCAAAAAGAGCACATGACCACTGTTGCATCCACGCCGAGCACCAACTTCGATACACAAATGGCAGCTGAAGAAAGCTCCGTGGAGGACGCGTCGGCTGCCGATGCTAGCTGGATAGCTGAACCCACTGCCTTTAATCCTCGGACAGCAGCTAGTACGCTATCGCGCACGGCATGCTGTGGGCTCTTGACCCAGCATACATGCGCACGCCCGCTGGCAGCGTGCCGCCTTCTTGTGCCAATGGCGCCTGCATCTCGCTGGTGGCACCTCCCGCCAAAAAGGGCGAATGGGCGCTGGCGCGGCCCTGCAGCTGTACCGGGCTGTCTCTCCAAAGCCCCTTAACCTCAACCCTTTAACTCTAAACCCGAGGCCCTAAAAGCCACGAATCCTTCAGTCCATCAAATCACAAAGGTCATATGAGCTAGAATCTAAACGCATCAAAGGGCGTTATGTAAGTGATGAGAAAGCGACTACAAAAGGGTTATTAAGGGAGACACTAGGAGTTTAGACTATGGCTCATATCTATAGACTTGTAGTCTGCGTGTAGGTCCCATTCACGGACTTGCAAGCCCAATGAAGGTCCTCGCTATAGACTTGTAATCCGAATGTAGGTCCGATTGATAAGCTTGTGAGCCCAATGTAGGTCCTACTTATAGACTCGTTGGCCCAATGTAGGTCCGGTCATAGACTTGTCGTCCTATTGTAGGTTATATTGGGTAGTTGCCCAAAATAGGCTGTCCCCAACAAAGACCCGAATGAACCATAAGTTTCAACCCTTGTGATCAGAACCCTCAAAAAGGAGCCCCTAATTTTTGGAAACCCCATTTACCCTACACCTTACACCCAAAAAGAGCCCCTGGAGGATGCTGACAGCGGGCGTCAGTTTGGCCCCGTGGCGTAGGGTGCCAGTGGCCACGCGGCCGACCACCACGGTGCCCTTGCCCCCGACTTTCATGACCTCGAGCTTCTTGTGGGAAACATAGGGGGATAAGGTTAGGGTTTGGGGATATTCTGGAAACCTAACTTCCAGACATCCTCCAGTAGAACTTTGGACTTTAGCAATCGTACTGCTAAGAAAGACGGGCACAACAAATGGGATGCTGGGCAAGCATCTTCCGTGATTACAGAGACTTGCTTGAGACTTGAGAAGAATATGAGCTCGAGCAGCAGCAAGCGGCTCAATGAAGCAATCACATGCGCACAGAAGTTTGAAGCAACCACTTTAGGGTGCGACCTTCCGTTTCAGGCTATCCTCAACTGACTTGCCAGCGTTTGTCGCCTCCCCTCCCTCCCTCCCTCTTACCTTTGGCTAGCTAGGTTTGAAGGAATGGATCCTCTTATAGTAGTCCCTATATCCCATTTCAGGATTTCCATTTTAATTCTTTGTCCATTCCTTCATTCCCACCTAACCAAGGGCAAGCCACCCCTACACCCCAACCTCCGCCAGAGGAAACCGCAAAGGCCGCTCAGGACGGAAATGTGATGCAACTGCTTCGTCAAGGGCCTCCGCCGGATGAATTGGGCTCATAAGCATCTGGTGGGACCCTTAGCGATGCAAAACCGCTTGAAGCGTTTGAGCAATTCCGTTGGTTTTGAGCCAAAGGGGGATTTCCGCACAAAACTTAGAGATTGTGAGTGGCAGTACTGCAGGGCATTTGACGGGATAGGTGTTTCGGCTCCTTAAGTCCATGAACCGTCGTAGCGCCAGGGGATGCGCTGATGAGTTTTTTATGCTTTAAACGAGGGACTTGGGGTTTGTGGTTGGGTGTCCAATTGTGGGACTGCGCGGCTTTGCTGTGTCTTGGTTTAATTCTGCGGTTAAGATACTCAAGCCAGTAAACACTACGTACTGGCGGCCGAGGCATGCTGAACTGCAGTCAGCCGATCTGTGCAACAGCTTGAAAGACTGACTTGTGGATTTAACCTGGCTGCTGGACCCAAAGGGCGTACAACCACCTATGCAAACTAAACCCTTCCACCGAGAATGTCCAAAATCCTTCAAAATCCCGCTCAAATCCTGACATCCTCCATTTCCCAGCTGAGGCCCTGGGTTTCACTTTGGCGGACCTCGATCAGAGTGGGACCGCCAAACCATGGCATGTTATCGGATCGGCTGATGACGTTGTCCTGCCGCGATTCCCCAAAGGGTCCATGAATGTATATCGTATATACTTCCGGCCCAAAGCGGTTCCCATAGAACTACTTACGGGCCCAGGTATATACTGTATAGCTACATGGACCCTTTGGGTTCTTGTGCGGTTGAACGACTCAGGTTCTCAGAAGATTCGAGGAGAAGACCCCGCAGGGATGATTCAGATATGGAGACTCACATGGAAAAGAAAATGGAAAATTACATTGCAAACTTGGGGAATATGGGGATTGAAGTGCTCTTGGGAATGTTTATATGCGGAATACCAGGGGGATTTGTAGAGGCTGGAGCAAGCAGAGGCCTTGAGTCATGACGAGGCGGTAGTTCAAGCATCAGGTTGCGCCGAAATACAGCATTGAGAACGCACAGATTGTGGGGTTGGTTGTAACATAATGCAGGAGCATCCCAACAAGTCCAACAACATGCCTCCAAACAGCCTAGGCTTTATGTCAAATCCGAAGGTTAGAAGCCGTTGATCGCTTCAAATTTCATACGGCCTCCAAGGATTCCCTGGAAGTGAACCCCTTTGACCCTTACTCAGATATTTCTCGAAATCAAGGACCGGAACTTGTTCGACTACGTACCCCCATCTGTCATGGGCATTTTTTTTCCAAAAAGAGCCGGCGTGTAGCCAAAGGGAAGAAGAATAATCGGGATTTCAAGAACCCAGCCTATGATTTTACCAAGACCATAATGTAGATCATACTCGCCCCTGGCCAAAACAAAGTCGTCGTATTGCAAATTGTAAGCCACAACTTTACATGCGGACCCAGCCACACCACACCATCCAGAAGTCGGAACGAAATGGACATCGAAGAACACATCGTTCCTTCACAAACATGGCGGTTTCCCAAATAAGGGGTACCCTTTTGGGGGTCCCCATAATAAGGATCATAATAGTTTTGGGTCTATACTGGGGTCCCCTCATTTTGGGAAGCTACCACATGCATCGCTATTGGGCCCCTTCCAACGAAGAGGCAAAAAGTAGGCACAATCTTCAGGCATTGCGGCAGGTGACCTTGAGACATTCCGTGCCAGCCTAACATTCTGCGGCTATAGCCAAACCTTACGGCGACCCCAACTGTTCGTGTCAAGGACAGAGAGGAAGGATAAATTCAAACCCCAATCCTCAAACTGACAAGTAAACTAAGCGAGGGAACCAGAAAATCTAAGCCATAAATTGTACAGTGGATAGTGGAAATCCTGCAGCACTGATGATCCGCAATATGCTGTAAATCTCATGGTGTGTAGGTTGGTGCGAAATCCCCTGCATCCACAGTACGGGTACCCAATCAGTACACGTTAAACTTTAAACCCGAAACCCTATTCCCTAAACCCTAATTAGCCCCTAAATCCCAGCCCCTATTTTTTGTGTAGCTTATACCTAAGCCCTAGTCCCGAGACCCAATCACCCTAAGAAACCTATTCCCGAACCCTTTTAAAGCATCAACGTTATACCCAAAACCTCAACCCTAAACCCTAAACCCTAAACCCTCAACCCTAAACCCTAAACACTAATACCCAAAACCCCTAAGCCCTGAGGACAGGAGGCGTCTTCAACCCAGCCGTCTTCAAGCGATCCCGGACCTTTGAAATCTGCAGTATCTAATGATTGTGCGCTTCTTATTGGGGGTTGTTAGGGTTTAGGCTAGGGTTTAGGGTTTAGCGTAAAGATTGTGAGCTTCTTACTGGTGCTTCAGGGAGAGTGGGGGAGTAAATATAAGGGCTATTATCGTGGTATATATGGCGTTATACAAGGATTCTTACAAGGATGCTCTCCCCCACTCCGCCTCAAGCACCAGTAAGGCTTTTCGTTGAGGCATGTGGCTTTGGGGTCTAGGATTGGGGAGTCAGGGAGTTTCACTTTGGACTCTTCCTCCTTGCAGATGGGTTTTAGGGTTTAGGATGTTCCAACTTTTTGGACCTTTCAGCTTATGAACACAGTAGTTTCCATAAATAGGGTGACCCCCAACATAGACCCCAAAATGCTCTAATCCTTATTCTGGGGACGCCCAGAAATGAACCCAAATTTAGGAAACCCTACAGCTCCTACAAATCCCTTCGTATCTCCATATACAACCTCATAAACCCGGAAGATTCTCTTTGAAGAGACCCCGCACATTCGGAAACCTACCGTGTAAATCGTAAACCCTAACCCTAAATCCTGAACCCAATAGTAAGCCTCTGCCGAGCCGCCGTTTTGCATGCTGTGGCAAAGCGATCCTCCGAAAATCGCGCCGAGTCGCTGTCCATTTTATTCACGCAGACGACCAGCCTGCTTGGTCAGGGTTTAGGGTCTAGGGTTTAGGGGTTGGGGTTTAGGGTTTGGGGTTTAGAGTTTAGGGCCTAAAGTTTAAGGTTTAGGGATTACGCAGACTTCCAGCCTGCAGAAGATACTGGTTATACAGGTCATGTAGAGGTATATAGGGTTAGGTACGGATATGTGATGAACCGTATACAAGGATTCATAGGGACGTATTAGGATGCTACCGCAACAGTGAAATTCAAGCGGAAGCGAACAAGGAAATAATAGAACACGTGTTTTGACAGTGGTGTATAGGGATCAGGCTTCCCCGAAAATTAGGGATATCTTTTCGGGGGATCCCTATGATAAGGCTTGTGGTATATTGGGGTCCATATTGGAGAGCCCCCATTTCCGGAAGCCCGCATATTTCCCGGTCAAGATTTCTGGTTGAGGGTTTAGGGTCTAGAGGTAGACCTGTGGTTCTGTCTACCTACATTTCACAGGCCATAGACGAAGGCAGAAGAAGCTGCAGGCATATGAGTTTCAGGCATAGCCTGAATGCACAGGAATGTATTAAGCTTGCCATTGTACAGAGCTTAGGCAGGACTCACGGCTGAAGGCATAAGGTTCCAGGGCGTACAGTTCGAAGATTTCGTTGAGGCTCGTCTTCACTCAAACTGAAGTGGCAGTCGTGGTTGGAAAAGGTGACTGTTCTTGACGGCAGCTTTAAAATACCATCAGATATCATCTTGCTCTAACTTGGCAGCTTCCCTACCCAACGCGGATGGAGGACATTTTGCACCACCTGGTATACCCTGTAGCCCAGTAATCTCAATATTGTTGAGGCCCTAAGTGGTGCAATGATTCCTCTATCCACCATGGGTTTGGAGCAGACTTGCCGCACCTCAGCCGGGAGGTTCAAGGCGTCACGGGTTTAGGATGCAGGGCTTGAAAAACAAGGTTTAGGGCCTACCCTCCAAACTAACTTCAAACCTGAAAAATGCCTGGCTGCAGACAATTGTCCTTGTAAATGGGTGATCTATGGCGATCCCTGCAATCCCGAGGTGGGTAATAGCAGCATCCTTGCCATCATCGCTCTGGCTAGTAGTAGTGTTCGTTCTGACATGTTTTGAGCACGCGCATAAAACAACTTACGTATTTGTATTCGCAAGCTACGTGGGCACTTAGGACCCCTACTAAGGGTTAACCCTTAGGTACCTATAATAGGAATATAAGAGAATCCCAATGGCTTAAGGGCCTAAGGTCCAAGATAAGTCCCACGGAGAAAACTCGCTACATGCACAATGGTGAGCTCGTACTATCAGCCTCATGGCAGGTAACATGCAATGGAAACTCCGATCTGAAATAGCCGGAAATGCACGTAGAACCACCATGCTCCCCTTCAGGAAATCTTGTAAGGCAATACATGCTAGGTCAAGTACAAACCTCAAAAACGATCTACGTCAAGGATTTGAAAGAAGGCAATCTGCCGAAGTTACCCAAGGCCTGAAAGACCTACATCAACTGTCTGCAACCAGAGACAGTGCACAGCACACCCTCAACTCCTTGCATCATGCCAGATGTGCAGACCTCCGTCTTGATAGACCCTTTCAAGGCCACCCTAAACCCGAAACCCTAAACCCACAAGCCCAAACCCTAAACCTTCAACCCTAAACCCTGAACCCTAAACCTTAAGCCCTAGACCCTGAACCTTTTTTGCATCAGGGCCTCACTACTGCCTGGATCCGTAAACCTCAAATCCTAAACCCTCGTTCCTACACCCCAAACCCTGAACCCTGAACCCTGAACCCTAAACCTTAAACCCTAAATCCCTAAACCCTAAACCCTGTTTTTGAGCAGCCTCCGGAGCCCCAAGGTGTAGGCCAGCAGAGTGTGTTCTCTCAGCTGCCCTTCGCACTCCTCCAGCAAAGGGCAGTATGTGTAGTGCGTGTTAGGTGTCATTTTTTGTTTTTTTCCGTTTAGGGTTTGGGTTTTAGGGTTTGGTTTTTTGGGGTTTAGGGTTTGTGGTTTTCGTGGGGGAGCCCCCTAACTCCTAACATCTCCTAACCTATAGTCCTAAAGCTCCTTGCCCCACATGGCTACTTGAGTTTTCGTGCGTGAATTTGCCGATCCGCTGCTGCCTTGCAGAACCATGAAAGAGTACAGCAACCATGTACATGCTCAAAAGGGCTCGTTTCACTTGCTACCTTCCTGTTATCTGTCTGTTCAGGTTGGGCTCGAGGTTCAGAATAAGGGTTCACATCTGTGGAGGAATAAAGGGCCGAGTTATTGATTGCTGACAGGAATCAAGGAATAAGGGTTCGGCGTTGAAATTTAGGCCTGAAGCTTCACACATTGCCCTCCCAAGCTCACATGAGGGTTTCGCAAAATCGGTATACCTAAGGGGCCTGAGAGGCATATAAGGATTACAAGGGGCTTCTGGATTATTATCCCATCGGGGTTGCTATTCAACCAGTCAATTGCGCAACGAGGCGCTCAAAAGCCTAAACGGCAAATTACATTGACTACTGCCCATTAAACACCGCAAGGGTACGAGTACGCAACCATTGCATATTTCCCAAGCCCTACGACTACCAATGCCCAAATCACAAGTACTCAATCATTGCGTATTTGGACCCTTACCCAAAGGGACCATGCAGCTATATAATATCATATATACCGGGGCCCACCAGCATTTATATGGGAACCGCTTTGGGCCCTATGAATATACGA